AGAATTTAGTATTAACTAAAAGTAAATATCAATAGAAATAGAAATTAGTTAATCTTAAAGATTCTGTTAATAAATTTTCTACTTGTGGATTTAGATTACGAGCAGTTGGAGGTCGTACATATCGGGACATATTGGATTATTAGAACTAAAACAAATGACATTGTATGGTTGCAATCAGAAAAAAAAGAAACAAATTACTTTTTAACTACTTGAATTGGTATAAATAAGAAAAAAAATGATATGGTTTATTCTTACACGATTATCAATAGAATGATACATACTCTTTTATTACCAGTGACGGTATGTAGAAGCCTTCTGTATTTTTCTTTTCATATACATAACTTAGAATGACCACATGCTTATACAGTAGATACTTATCTTTATTTTATTCTTTTCTGTAAATCCTTTCCTTCCATACACGTTCAGAATCAAAACAAATATTACTTATAGATAACATTCATTTTCTTCCGTTCTGCGCGCACGTATCATACATATGAATTTAACTGTTCTGTTTTATTCAAACATATTTATGTCTTAATATTATACATTTAATTTTCCACTATCTTATATAATGTGTGAATACATTTTTTTCTGTTGGTAGGGAAGTATGTTACAGTCATATTTTCATATGTCTTCACACATTCTTTGTTTCTTTTTTTTTCATTTCTCTATTTTCGTTATTCATTCTAATAAACCAAAATCTAAACAAAGTCGCTTGCATCATGTCTCAAATCAAATCATTATCAGATGATTTAGTTTCCTCGTGTTCCATTAATGATAATAATATTAGTCCAGATCTTCATGACGAGTATACCAAAATTTTGAATGATATACAACATCAATTGTTTTTCGATGAAAAATTAAAGTATCACCATTTAGAGTACATTCTCGAACGTCGACATACCATCGAAAATGGTTTTATACAAATGTTAATTGACAGAATCAATCAATCAAATCTAGATTTATCTACTCGTGAACGTTTAATTACTAAAATCAATCAATTAGGTACCAATATTGAATATGTTGACAGCAGCACCAATACAAAAATTTCATTTAATGCCAACAATGATTCTGATGAAGAAACAAATAATGATTATGAACCCGATTATACTGATACCGAGTACGACTATTGTGACGACTTGGAAAATGAATTACTTGATCAAATAGAATTCGAACAAGATTATAACACATATTGATCATCAAACCAATTAACTTGCAATATTATTCAACTTAGTCAGGATTTCTCTTTTTAAATCAATAATCATCGTTTTCCTCTTACTTTATTTCTTCTACGTGTTTCAGTTCGGTATATTAATAAAGACACACTATAATACTTTCGATGTCACATTCAGAATCTAAGCACATCTCTGATTATTCACTTTTTATTTCATATTTGTTTTGTTTGATATTAGTGTTAGTCCGTCTGTACGACTACGGGAGAAAGACAAAAATTGTATATGAGTATAACTCGTACATTTAATCTAATTCAAGGAACACGTGTCCTTACAAAAGAAACGAATAGTATATATAGAAAAGGAACGAAGGAGAATATGTAAAATATGTTTACATTTTAGACTCAACGCATCATCCATCATGACTCAAAACAAAAGAAAAGAAAAGAAAAGAAAAAGGAACAATGTGATTATATATCACATTTTTAATAAAATCCACATAAGAAAGAAAGAAGACTTGAGTCATCGCTAACAATTAATAATCATGTTTTCGATCACCGCTTCATAATACTCTTGATTATAAAATTTATAAAAGAATCGAAACCGGTCTTGGTAGTTGTTCACACCACTGCCTTTGCATT